GGCTTTAATACTCCTATACTGCCATTTTAAAGAGCTGTTTCTTCAATTCATATAGTTTTCTAAAATTTGATCGAGAGTTTTCATTCATTTTATATTTGTATGACATTACACACTACATTTTGAGTAATTTTATTGATTTTATTTTTTTTTCGAAATACTAAATTGAACTGTATAAGTTTTAGTGTAAGTTGAGCGAATAAATTTTCAGTGACAAAGCAATTAAAAAAAAACAAAAAAAAAACAGTCAAATGCTTATTATAAGATTCTATAGAGGACATACAGACAAACATTTATATTTTTATATATCTATAATATTAGGTACATGTGTTATTTACTTTATCACCACTGTAGTCAGATGTACATGTTAAAATTCACTTATGGCATGCATCGATCAACGATCGGTAAAAATTGTGTATAGATCATGTGCGCATTAGAAACGACGTCCAGTCATAAATCAATTGAAGAATTGCCGCCCGATGAAGCGTTTTTGTTGTGTCAAAAGCCAACGTGCTGAGTTGTAATGATTTGTATGCGGATTTTTATTATATTTATTCAATTATAGAAATTTAGCTACTACCCAAAAAAATAATAAATAAATTACCATATGCTAAATTCAAAATTCATTCATTCATTTCATACACGTAAACATTCAGGAAGTGAAAAATTATTAAAGTAGTATTTTTGACGGGATCCTAAAAACCGCATTGTAACATACTACGTATTGAATTATTATCTAAATTTATTATAATTTATCACATAAACGTACATACATACATATGTAGATATTAGATAGATTTGCATGCAATTAATAGTTCAGATATGTAGGTATATACGAGTATTTGTTTGAAGTTCTTTTCCGATTATTAAGTACCTACTGCACAAGACATTTTAATACTTGTACTACCGATATACATACCTACATACTATGTTATCTTATCGAATCTTTTATTAGTGTGTATGCAAACCATTAATAGTTTCTTAACATAATATAAAGCACTAATCAATTTTTGAAACAAAAGTGGCTTTTCACTTAAAGCGTTTAATTTATAATGTATTAAGATTTGAGTAAGTCATTTGCCTAATAAAAATGGATTTACCATAAGATAATACGCTAAATTCACGGGAAAGATTTATTTTCACATATTTTGCTAATCAAGTTTGACATGAGATTTAGCAGGCAAGAATTCATTGCCAATTGACCGCGGAAATACCACATTTATTAGTATGCATAAATCATTTTTAAAATCATTTGCATTGCCATATATAAGTATAGTAGTATTTTTGAACATTAATAAGTGATAAATAGTTCAGGCCTTTGGGCTGTAAATGGTTTACATAATAAACAAAATTAAAAATTATTATAAATTGCTTAACAAGTATTCTGAATATACATATGTATGTACATAAGTAAATGTATTTGTAATTGTTCTTAATTCTCGCTGCAGGGAGTTAAAAATATATCCTTTACTAACAAGCGGGGTAGGGTCCAGAAGCACCTGACCAATATGGGTACTACAGCCTCTTGTTCAAACTGCTGGTTTTGAGACATGGAGCCGGCAACTCCTGACCATCTGATTCTAGATTGCGCAGCAATCTGTGAAAGCAGGCTTAATGCCCTTGGATACATACTTGTATATCTGGATAGGGATTACATCATCTCAATAGCGCCCAGCAAGGGAATCAGTCAGAGTGCTGGGCCTTTGTGAGTACGTGTGATGTTGGGGAGGACACAATTAGGCCAGTGTAAATAATTTTTGAAAACAAAAAAATCTTAGTTGGATGAAACTCATCGGAAAAGAAAGATAAAATAAAAATTAAAGAAACAAGTAGGGAAGTTCTAAGTTCGGGTGTAACCGAACATTTTATACTCTCGCAACGTGCAAGGATCCACGCCCGGGAAATTACTTTAGATGTTGACACAATTGTATATTAAAGGAAGTATTGAGCGAATTCAACCCATTTTTGACACAAATACATTCTATTATCGAGAGTTTCATTTATTTATTTTATTGTATGAATTTCAATTATGTGTAAGATATACATTGACCGATATTTTCGGTAAAAAGTCAACTATAGGCACTGGTCTCCACATATTCAGTATCTAGGGACTTGAACAGTTTTGGTTCGATTTAGAATTTTTGGTCACAAGGTGGCATACTTTTAACGCATTATTCGTTTTACCCCGATACAATCATTTTTGCTTGATTTGCATACTGGAAAGTGAAAAAATCAGATGGAATTTAAAATGGTGTTATATGGGAAATAGGCGTGGTTGTAATTCGATTTCGCCTATTTTCGCACTATAACATAGAAATATGAGAAGAATGTTATGTACCGAATTTGGTTCAAATCAGTTGGGCAGATCCCAAGATATGGGTTTTCACCTCAAAGTGGGCGGTACCACGCTCACTGTCTAATTTTGAACGCGGTTCCCATAAAGTCATCTCATACCATCCTAGAAATAAAATTTAATGTCTCTGCCGTGTTTAGGGCTTGATTTATCGCGCTTTTAGTAGTTTTTCAGAGTACCGTTATATGAGTAGTGGGCGGGGTTGTCATCCGTTTTCACACTGCCGATAGGGAAGCTAAAAATATTTGTTCCCAGTGAATTTTGTTGTTATAGCTTTAACGCATAAGCAGATATGCAAATTAAACATATCAGGGGGCGAGACCACGTCCACTTTAAAAAAGATTTTAAACTGCAGATGCCCCTGCCTAATGTGATGCTGTATACCAACAGTATACAACAGTCTTGTATCTTCTTGTGGAGCTTAGTTATGACAATTTATTTGTTTTTGATTAATGTCGTTTTGTGGGCGTGGCAGTGGTCCAATTACGCCCATCTGCAATACCAACCGTCTTACGGTACCAAGAAACATGTCTACCAAGTTTTATAAAGATATCTCAATTTTTACTCAAGTTACAGCTTGGACAGACGGACGGCCAGACAAACACCCGGATTTCAACTCGTCTCTTCATCCTAATCATTTATATATATATATAACCCTATATCTAACTCGATTAGTTTTAGGAGATACAAACAACCGTTAGGTGAACAAAACTATTATACTCTGTAGCAACAGGTTGCGATAATATAAAAATCTCATGTAAAAATTTCAGACTGTTTTAAAAAGGCTTCCTTCCTTATTATTATAAAAATCCCTACTTTCTGATGTTATAAAACATCTATACATTAAGTTTTCTTAGAAAATGCAAAAAGAGACCCCACACATAATATGATAAGGTACAAACTAAGCGATCTAAACTATAAAAGTCCTTGTATGGAAAACTTTTTAATTTGACAAGATATCATGAATCTTAGCATGGATTGTTGTTCCAGGCAACGGTACAATCTGCGAACACATTGTTCGGATCGGATCTCTATAGCATATAGTTGCCATACAAATTTACCGATCAAAATCAAGTTCTTGTATGGAAATTGTTTTATTTGTGACGTGTATTATATTATAGCTTCGGTGCAACCGTTAATAGCTTGTAAAGCGTTATAGAAAATAGTTTCGTGCATTCAAAGGTGGAATGTTGAGAGTAAACTAAAAAAAGGCATTTTTTTATGTTTTTAATAAAGTATTGAGACGATTATTATTTGTTGTAGCCAATTAAGTAACTGTCTAGTCCAGGGCCCTAAGAGTAGTTATTTATTATTTATTTAGGACCTATAATGTACTTTAAGCCAAAAAATTTAAATATTTTTAATGCTAGATTGTAAATAGTACAATAGATCCATTTTTGGCAGCACAAAAATATTGCAAGATTTGAAGCCTTGTCATAACAAGTTTTAATAATTGAACATAATTACATATGTAGATCATGAATAAGTATGAATGTGTATAAATATTTTTTCAATATGCCACGTTCCATTCAATTCCAAATGATAAGTGAAAATTTCAAGGCAAAAAACAAGATAAGAAATTGATGTGTAATAAATGCATAGCAGCAGCTAGACATGAACAAGCTGCGCGTGCGCAAATATGCAGCAATGTGATTATAGCAGTGCGATCTGATAGGCAGATCAGATGGTGCACTGTGTTTATACGCAGTATGTACATACTTATACATACATATGTATGTATATGTATTTCACGGAGATAAACTGCACTACGTGAAGGTGAAAGCTTTTTTAAAAACTGGAATAAAAATGTGGCGCTGCAATTAACAGAAATGACGCAAAGATGCAACGTTGACGAAACGGATATGAACATGCAAAATGCTTTATAGTGTTTAAATAGGGTAAACAAATATGCACACACATTAATTTATCTGTATATACCATATCTACTTAGTTATGTAAATGTTGCTACAAATTGGTGAGAAATGATGACATCAAAATTACTAGAAAAGACAAATACACCTACTTTTCTTACCTCATCTATGATAAACAACCCGATAGTGGACACCTTTTATTCGGTGAAAAATGCATGATTCATGAAGAACACATTTTTTTCATTCACATGTGCATATAACAAACATACATTGTATCGAACTACTTGCATAAACACATGGCAAATCATTAAACAATATCAAATTATTATTTTTAACTTATCAATATCATCCATTTATCTATAACCATTTAATATGAAATCTATATATAATATATAAAAATGAGACCCGTTTCCCGTTGTTACGCCATAACTTGAGAACGGCTAGACCGATTTGGCTGTTGTTTCTTTTTGTAGTTTTCTAATACTCTGTAGAAGGGTCTTACGGAAAAAATATAAAGATAATGTCTCAGAAAGATTCAAAAAATACCTTTAATTTTGCATATTTTAAAAAACGCGCGTAACGAATGTCATCGTCATTCACAGCCATAGACTATATTGAAAGAGCATCGTTTGTTCGGAAATGTGGTTACTTAATTAAATTCTATCGTACTACAATTAAATGTACCGACTTTGACAGTAATAAATCACACATAAATCAAATATTTAATCTCACTCTCACCTACACAATAATTAACCATTTCTTCAATATATTTTGTACAGGTGGCATGTACAAATTGGAAACGTGTATTAATGATCCTCACTGGAAATTGGCAGAATGGCACGGATCCGTTACAAATACCTGGTTCTCTGGCGCATTCAGTGGGCATGTTCCAGAAGCTCAATTCGCTCAGCCATGAGGAGCGCGCTCAGGTGCTCTCCGAGTATACACGATTCATATTGGTGCGGCATCCATTAGAACGTTTGCTATCCGCGTATCGCAACAAGTTGGAGGGTGATGCGCCGAGCGCACGCTATTTTCAGTCGCGTGTTGGCCGGCAGATAATAAAGGCTTTTCGTGCCGGCGCTAACAATCACTCACTGGAGAATGGCGACGATGTCAGCTTTGCGGAGTTTGTGCAATACTTGCTTACGCCAGATGTGAGCCGCACTAATCAGTCGTATAATGAGCATTGGGAACCTATCGCGAATCTCTGCAATCCATGTGTAATGAAGTACAATGTAATAGGTGAGCATTTTTAAAGTTATAACACAATATGTACATATAAATTGTAAATTAACATTTTCTTTATTTTATAGGCAAATATGAAACGCTGTTAGATGATTCTTCTCTTGCATTGTACTTAGCTGGTGCAGACAATCTGACATTCCCCACTGGTCACAAGCCATCCAGAACCCGTGCACATTTGCGTTCGTACTTCGATCCGTTACCCATAAATGCAATACGACGGCTTTATGAGATTTATATGGAAGATTTTCGATTCTTTGAATATGGCTTGGAAGATGTACTAGGTTTTGAGTTTGGATGACTCAGTATACGTTCTTCGTATATGTACATATATGGTATTTCAATATCAGTTACTCAGATGGATTTTTCACCATGTGAAAAAACAGTTATTCAACAAACAATTTATTTTTAATACTTGTGATGATGAATGAATGCATTTTGCAATAACGTTTACGATTTTAGTGGTTGTTTTAGTTAAGTTTAGAAATTATGTGTATAAATAAATATGTACATATATGTAAATTTCATCTGAAAGAATTCGTAGGTTTTGCTTATTGTTCAAAACTGACCATATTGATGACACATCTATAAAAAGATATTAATAACAAAATTACTGATTTTAGTGTCCTATTTTAATTTGAAAATTATGTTGCTTGAATGATTTTGATTAACAGTGAACCCTATGGAAAACGGTATTGGACATTTTCCGTTAGACTGCGAAACAGTTTACATTAGCAGTTCTCGGTACCCTGATTTCTTAGGCAGGAGTTTTTAATAAGCGCAGAAAGTTTGAGATTTCAATAAGGTTATGCATAATGCAAGGGGGTCTGGAACGATTTAAGGTTGCTTATGGACGTGGTGAAGTAAATATGTTTTAACAACATGAAGCAAACGCTCGGATTCATCTACATTTTAGCAAAATCTGGTCACCTCAAAAGCCGATGGTATGTACATACATATATATATACTACGTTCCCTTTTGTCCGGAATATGCTTCTAGATCACACAGCTACTAGCTTAATAAACTTCGGATTAACTGTAAAATTCAACTTGAAACAAATTAAGAAACCTCGAAAAATATAATTTTCCAATAGTACATATATTGTTCACAAATAAATAATCAGTTTTATATACCTAGATTTAAGAGTAAAAGTTATCAGTAATTATCGAAAATGATAACTGGCTAAATATGTAGCATCCCTTACATACATATGAAAATATGTAAGGTATTATCAATTGCAATTTATTTCCTGCAAAATTATCCTCGTTTAAGCCAGTTCAAAATGGTATATATATACAAGTACTTCATATGTACATATATATATATTAGCAAGAACTTTAAATTTTGGCCTAGGCTTTTAAGAAAGATTTTGACATTGACAAATAAGGTGGTGGGCATAAACTATATGTTACTAGCAGTAAACATTCGCATATTGTCAGATATCTATGAATCTACACGAGTATTAACATTTATTAATAGGTTTTCGCATACTGAATATATGGCGAAAAATTAATTTTTATTTTACGATGTTCAACATCCTTTTTTTTGATAACACATTACGTTACATTAACAAACAAAAAACATTTCAGACTTAGTTATTGTATCAATTTCATCGTCTATTCTTGGGTATATTCGATTAGTCATAGTATCGCTGTTTCAATGCTCTATATTTCTTTAAGGAATAGAGCGCCTCCACTTCCTTGGCTACGTAACGTCCATGTGCTACTAGAGCCATAATCTTTTTTGGATCCGTCTCATCTTTATGCTTGAGAAAAGCATCGCGTATTTGTTGTCGGAACTTTTGTGGTCCATTCGGGCCAGGGTACTCCCTGCCCAAGTACTGCAGCTGCACAAGAAATGTTTACACATTAACAAATAAATGACTGTGATCCACAAAAGATAATAAAAACTCATTATTTACATGCTTATAGAGTCCAATTACTTTCGATCTTATCTCCGATGACATTACCAATAAGGAATTGCCGCTTCTTACAAAAATTTTATTATTTAGATTGTTTCACAAAAATATATCGAAGGATTGATTAATTTCTACCAAGCAGAGCGATTAGAAATCAGTGTTGCCACATCTTAAACCAATGTAATAAAAGTATTTAGAGTTATTGTTAACTTATTTTTTAGTAATTAATTAATCTTTATTTATTTCATCATGTATAAATTTTTTTGGGGAAAACTTTAGTATACCGTCCCAGGCTTTCGGGGATAAAATGGGTATGGGTGGATAGAGGAGATCCTCCAGATCAAGAATATTAATTTAATTAATATTTAATTTAATAATTATAGTTTTCGAGATATTTACGTTTAAAGTTGAAAATTTCAACTATTTAAAGTACGCATTTTTTCGATTTCAAATGAATTATATACTTATATTTTCCACTTTTATATCCACTAACACTTCACTAATTCGTTTGTACACATTTTTTTATATTATATAGTACAAAAATAGTTTAATTCAATAATTAAATTATTGTTAAATTCTATTAATTCTGACAATAACAAAAGGGTTGCAAAATGTCAAATAACCAGTGTTACCTTATCGACATCTTTTGGATTTGAATGGAAAGAAATTAAAACATATAATACCCCAAATACAGGAATCCAAAACCTAGAGAAATATACTATTACGGTTGGTCCAACCCCAGGGTGTATCAAAATATTTTTCGCGCAGAACTCCTTTTTGCGTTGGCGGCTTCAAAAAAATAACACTGGTCGGTCCAACACCGAGGTGTACCAAGATTTTTACGCGCAGAAATTATTTTTGCGTTGTTTCCGGTATCTAGGGTATAATCTCTCTGTTTATTTTATTTTTCTTCGTTTACAAAATATATATGTATGGCAACACTGGTGTTTTGACATTCACAACCATTTTGTTATTGTCAAAATTAATAAAATTGAAGAATGATTTAAATATTGAAATAAAGCTATTTTTGCAGCATCTAATATAAAAAAAAATTATAAAAACGAATTAGTCAAGTGTTAGTGGATATAAAGGTGAAAAATAAGCGTATAATTCATTTTAAACCGCAAGAATATGTACTATATATAGTTGAAGTTTTCAACTTTAAACGTAAATATCTCGAAAACTATAAGTTTCCCGCGGCTATATCTATATATATTCTTGATCTGGAGGATCTCCTCTATCCCATACCCATTTTATCCCCGAAAGCCTGGGACGGTATACTAAAGCCGACCCTTTTTCTTACTTCCACTACACCGCCAGCGCAATTGGGCACATTTCTACATTTTCAACTATAAATAAAATACGTGGCAGCAATATGTTTCAATAAGTCTTATGACCAATTTTGATAAGAAGTTATCGATAAGAGTGTGGTGGAATTTCACAATATTCAACATATTGTGGCGAACACGAGTACCAGAACAAATCAGAATTGACGATAAACTGCCAGAATCAACTAGACAGCGAATTCGTAGTTGCCAGATGGGCAAAGTTCACGAGCTCTGATGATTGTTCCAAAAGTAAGAATTCCTGAAGTTCTCAACGAGCTGCACAACGGTCCAAGTGGAGGACACAAGGGTGTCACTAAAACCTTGGAGAAATTAAAACAAAGATTTTATTGGGTTGGTTGTCGTCAATCAGTTACGGAGTGGATCGCCAATTGCGTCGAGTGCATTGCTACTAAAGGGCCGCGGTCCATGAGTCATGGTCAGATGAAGCAGTACAATTTAGGTGCGCCGTTTGAACGAGTAACCATGGATGTAGCTGGTCCATTTCCTATTAGTAAATTAGCAAACAGACATGTTTTGGTAGCCATCGACTACTTCAGCAAATGGCCAGAGGTATGCACCATTCCTAACCAAGAGGCAGGAACAGTAGCGGATATATTCATCAACAATTGGGTATCGAGATATGGTGTTTCAAAAGAATTACATTCTGACCAAGGGAGAAATTTTGAATCAGCTCTAATACAGGAGATATGCCAGAAGCTGGGTATCCGGAAAACAAGTACAACTGCACTACATCCGCAGTCCGATGGCATGGTAGAACGATTCAATCGAACTTTGGAAGAACATTTGAGGAAAGTTGTGGACAAGTATCAAAAAGATTGGGATACCCATATATCCTTGTTCCTGATGGCTTATCGGTCTGCTGTACATGAAAAAACGGGGCAGACTCCAGCAAGGGTAATTTTTGGTAATGATCTTCGACTACCGATTGATTTAAAATTTGGAATTAACGCCAACGGAGGAAGGCATACTAAGGAATTCAATAGCATCCTAGAAGACGAGATGAGGGATATACATGCTATGGTAAGACAGCGCACCAAAAGTATGAGCGATAAGATGAAAGAAAAATACGACAAGGCAATAAACTCTGAGGGTTTTATTGAAGGCGATTGGGTGTTGTTATATAACCCACAACGAAAGAAAGGGCTGTCTCCTAAATTACAGTGTAATTGGGAAGAATCATACCAGGTTATTAAACGACTCAATGATGTAGTGTATCGCATACAGACCATTGGAAGACCAAGGAATAAAATGAAGGTGGTTCATCTGAAACGGCTTTCAGCGTTTGGTACCGCAAATATGTCTAATCGGGACGATCAGACTTAGGTAGATTGTAGTGTGGCGAACACAAGTACCAGAACAAATCAGAATTGACGATAAACTGCCAGAAGCAACTAGACAGCGATTGTTAAAAATTTACTATATAAGGGCTGCCGGATTGTGCAGCAGACACAGTTCTAATTAGAGTATTGTCGTGTAAAGAGCAATTAAGCTATAAGCAATAAGTTGTAAGTTCGAATAGCGAGCAATAAGTGTTAAGTTGTTGGAATTGGAAATAAAGATATGTGTATAGCATTAAATTGGGACTTTAATTTAACAATCCAGTGACCGAGCTCAAGAGTGAGTTATAGTTAGACGATTTATCGAGAAATCCGTTACAATATATACCTTTTAGAACTAAATGAAAATGTACTACGTTCCAATTGTGTACTATTAAATATAGTCTTAATTATAATTATAATTCGCAATTGTGTACTATTAAATATAATCTTAATAAGGGGTTAGAAAAAGAATGCGCTAATAATGGAGGTTCTCCTCACGATTAACAATATATAGTTTTTAGCTGCCATAGACTTACATTTCTATTCAGTGAACTTATCTTGCTAATTTCGCAAGATTGACAATTTCTCAAAGTTTTTCTATTCTGTGCCATAAATAAAAGGTCTTTTAAATTGTCAAAAAGTCAAAAGCTCTAACAGCATTTTACAAACAATTTTTTATCAAACTTATTAAGGAAGAGAAAAATTGCGAAAATACGGATAAAGTTTTGGTTATGACACAGTTAAAATTACTTACTAAAACTAATGGTACAATATCGCCGTGAGCGGAAAGTGATTTTTATCATTAATTTATATACAAATATATTTAACGCACTTTGCACATATTTTTCAAGTCACTTAGTTTTTGTTGTTGTTGTAGCGGCAAAACTCTGCAGAACTCAGATAACTTAGCTGTAATTACAAGTAAGCGACTTAAACATTTTCTTGTGAAAAAAAATACTGAGAAATGATGGCATTGGCGGCCTTCGGTCTCGCTTCAAAAAAATAACCCTGGTCGTCCAACACCGAGGTGTTTATAATTCAATCGCGTCAAATTCCTTTCTGCACTGGCGTCCTTCCTCGCGCTTCAAAAAAATAAGTGGTCGGTCTAACACCAGGGTGTCCATAGTTCTGCTGTAACCAACTCCTTTCAGCAGCGTATAAAATAAAAGAAATAATTTAAATGTCTCACAATTTTTTATTTTTAATGCATTATTATTAAAAAAATTAAAAAAACCTTTTTTTTTTTGAAAAATTTAAAAAAAATATATAACTAATGACAAAATTCACTTTCCACTCAAGGATTTCTAATATTCGCGTTAAAATAAGACGATTTAAGAAATAAAATTTCATTTTTGAGGCCTTAGTTGGGGGACCTAAACTATACATTTACTAATGAAAATTATTAACAAATTCGAAAATCTTCGGCGTTACTTCGTAAATTATATACAGAAATAATGTTCAAAATTTCAAACGAATCGGTGCAGTAGTTCTGAAGTTAGGAGGGGGACCGACTTTGTCGGGAGTTTTGGGGAAAACGCTTCAAAGTTTTGAAATCTGATATAAGACGTTCGAAAGACAGGTATTAAAATGCTCGTAACTTGGTAAATTTTGGTCTAATCGACATGCAATTTTGACACAATATTCTTTAATTAAAAAATAAAAATAACACAATAAAAATAAATCTTAAACCAATTATTTTTGGAGAACATAAAAAGTAAGCTATTAAAAATTTTTGTTCAGTTCTAATACAAACCAAGTTAATAAATTTCTGGAAGTAATTAAAATGTGTGAACTAAAAAGTTAAATTTTTTTAAAATTATTTTATTCTGACCCGTTATGAAGGTTTTGTTTCAGTACATTAAGAAATTCAGCAACAGTATTAGTTAGGCCTTGGATAGCCTGAATTATCTCCCTGTGTTCCTGCCGCCTTTCGCTTTCAGTGCGTTGCCTTTCCGCCTGTGTAACAGTATTATTCAGGCCTTGGATGGCTTGCATTATCTCCCGATGTTCCTGCCGCCTTTCGCTTTGAATGCGTTGCCTTTCCTCTTCAACAACAGTATTAGTCAGGTCTTGGATCGCCTGCATCATTTCCCGGTGTTCCGGTCGTCTTTCACTTTCAATTCGTTGCCTTTCTTCCTCAGCAGCATTCCTTTTTACTATATCACCTATCAATGTGCTAAGAAGTTTTTTGCGATTACCTCGTGTGAGAGCACCCTTCAAAAGAATAAAAAGTAATTAAAAATGCACAAAAACATATGTATATGTAAGTATATGTTGTAAAACTAGAAAACGGACCTAATTTTCCAAGCTTTGCGACTTGCATGGAGATAATGCAGGCTTTACTGATGGTTCTGGGCTTGCCGGTTGCTCGTGGTTAAACGGTAGTAGTGGCGGGCTGCATGATGGCAGGCGACTACCAGAGGACGATGCAGTTTCAGTAGGTGTTGTTGAGCAATCAACTGTTAAAGGCTCATTTGACATCAACTCAAAGCTCTTTGTCCCATTAACAGTAAGCAAATCAAACGTCGTTAACGCCTTGTTTTCGAAATCGCTTAGCGGTTTGGAACTTGGTCCTCCACTAGTTAGCCTCTGGCTCATTTTCCAACGCTTTCCCCGTATGTGCAGTTGGCTCTTCCACACACTCAAAGTCTACATACATATAAAACAATGAGCAAGCCAAATATAACATAAACTAGTATTAAGCAAGTTACTTCTTTCCATTTTGCTACACTACGTGTTGGCCCTCTATATGAATTTAACTCCTCTGCTAGCTGCTTCCATAACTCCTGTATTTCCTGAGGCGACTTTGTTGAGTTTTTTCTATTGCCAATTTCTGGATGTGCCTGACAAAATGCTACATATAGCTCAAGCTGCTCATGGGTAGCCCCGTCATGCTTTGATTTTCTTTCAATATTAAATTACAAATTACTGTAAAATAATATGTTTAATTTATGTGAAAACTTACGTTGTTGAAGAATCCATTTCGTTAATAATGTAATGTAAGCATAAATACTCGTTATCTGTGTACATTGTTTAGTCACCACACGTGTGGGGAAAAGTACTGTGTCTGTATCTTTATATTTTAACAAGGTTGTCAAAAAAATATAGAAAATCATACTCAATAAAATCTTGATAAATTATCAATATTGAGCTTATTTGGCAAAAACAAGTAATAGAGGAATTAATATAAGTATTTTATAACTTTCCTTGATTTCTTAACAATTGTTTTGTATGACAATAATGAGAAAAAAAATCTGTTCGAATTAAGAGTAGAATTATTTATAAGTAAATAGGTGTATTTTTGATTATGAACATGGTTGCAGAAATGCCCTCGAAGAAAAAAATGTGTAACACCCTTCACAAATAAAAAAGTTTCCCTACAAGAACTTGACTTTGATCAGCCAGTTTGTGTGGCAGCTATATGCTATAGTGATCCGATCTGAAAAATATGTTCTGAGATTGTGCATTGCCTTGGACAAAAATCTTGATTTCGGTTCTGACAATGCAGTTTCTGGGAGTGTAAGAGACGAGTGCGAAATTTCGTCTCAATATCTTACGTTCACATATATACTACCGGACACACTCAGCTCAACACGATTATAATTTTTATATACTTTATGGGGTGTCCGACGTTTTCTTCTGAGTGGCACAAAGCTTGTGGCAAACTTAATATACCTTGTTCAGAGTATAAAAACAAAATCCATGAAAATAAACATAATGCATAATGGAAAAATGTATTTTGCTCTCATAAATAAATATACTTCCAGCATATATGCCTTGCTGGCCAAAGATACTTAACAGTTTTAATTCATCTTATTTATTACCGAAAATTAAAAAACTGGTTGTTTTAATATATTATATCATAAAATCACCATAAAAATTAAAAAACGTCAATTTATAATGATTTTTAATCGGAATAAATGCCGGTTTTAATTTAAATACTGATTTTTTTGATCTGGCTACAGTGCAAAATGCTATAAAAAAGTTTGAAATTTTTATATTATATTAGGTATATGAGCCCAGTATTGACTCGATTTTACCCACAATTATTTAAACGATATATTACTATATGTATATATATATATATATATATATATATATGGGAACTTAAGGAAGGATTCACCCGAAGTCAACTAGAATTGACTCGATATCTCTATACGATATCTACTGTGTATATATACATATGTACATATATTTACGATTTTAGTATTTAAAATTTAGCACACTGAGCCCAGTTTGATTCAACTTAACAGGATGGATAGTTTATATCTCAATTATATTAAAAGTAAAAGAGTTCATTAAAAAAATAAATAGATTTCTAATCATAAGCATGTTTTCAAAATTCAAAAAAAAAAAAGTTTATACAATTTTCGGAAAAATGCAAAATGTATTAATTTTTTCATTGACAAATATTTGTATGAATCATTTTCAAAATTAAATTTCAAATACAAACCATTGGGTTCTTATACCGGCATTGGTTGTTTCTAATGAATAAGCCGGTCGTTTTTTCTTGGACGCACTATGTGAAACCGCTAAGACTTAGAGTTCAATCCTTAGGATGCTTATAACGGAAATTACGTTATCGTTTTTATTTGTATATAATATTTCCATGTATTAAGGACCACGCGTGTAGCATACCAGAATAACATATGAAATACATAAGTACATAGGTTATTATAATAATATTTCATCTATACCCAGGGCCCTAGAGAGTAAACCAGAGCTCGGAGGGATATATAGGGACTCTCACTCTGATCCAAAAATTTATTGAAATTATATTTTATTTATTTTGAGAAAAAATTAATTTCATTTTACTATATGTACATTTTTTTTTTTTTTGTTGATGTTACATGTGCTCGAATACATATGTATATGGTAACTCGGTAAATCATCCTGAAGAAACATTGACCCCGATATTCACCCCTCTCTTATGTACTCTGTATACCATAGCCACAGTAACCACCAGATCTTCTATGGTATAAAGTCAACCGAAAGTTCGAAAATCTTTAAACTAGTTAAGTGGAGCTAAGGGAATTATTGTCTCGATTTTACATATTTTTGACACAAGGGCACATTATTATCGGTATTATATTATTCCAATAATACCTATATTAGATAAAATGACATATGACCATAGGCACAGAGGTCCACATATTTGGTATTTTAAGGCTTGAAAAGTTATAGGCACTATTTATGCAAAGTTTAATTCCGATAACTTTACTAGTGCTGGATTTATATACTGTAAAGTGAACAAGTAAGGAAGGGCTAAGTTCGGATGTAACCGAACATTTTATACTCTCGCAAAGTTAAATGGTATATTCGTTTGAGACTTCTTTATGTATTTTAATAATTAGAAGTAGGAACTGTTGCTTAGTTATTTACTTTTCACCGAAAATAATTAGAGCAATTTGTAAACTAAATTTACTCAAATTATAAGAAATCGTTCTTGTGCTTTTTGTATACGCTTATAATTGATTTTATATAGAATGCATTACAACTGTATTGAGAAGTATGAAAAGAAATCGTTTTTGGACAATGAATAACATTTTTTATTTATTATATCGATATTATTATACATGTTTAGCTTAAAAATAATAAATATTAACAACTTTAAAAATGATATAATATTATTATATTAATTTGTATATAGTATTTACAATATTAAATAAATTTGTAGAGATTCTTATACATATATCCAAATTATATTTCTTTTTTCCTTATACTATTTTATTTCTATCATATATTTATACAATAATGTCATATATAATAACAAATTATATATATAATTTAAATTTTTTTAATTAGATTATTTACATATTTTTCTTAAAATTGTCTTAAAAATTACTGTCAAAATTCCTATACCATTCCAATTCGATTATATTTGGAAAAAAAAATGAAGAACTATTGTACTAAGTCTGAAAACTTTATTTCGAAATAGAGACACAAATACTGTCATGATAGCTGTGTACTGTCTCAAAAGTAATTGCATTTACACGGGAAGGATCCATGTTTGAAAATGCCCAATCAATTTGTGTACCGGCAGGTGTAGTTGAATATTCTGCACCAAGCAGAGAACTAAAGTTTTTTTCTTGGAGCAGATTTCTTATTGCAGTCCCTGTAGACATTAAACAAATGTAAAAATCTCCAACAATTAGCACATTTTGATTGCCTAACTCAGAAGTAAGGACTTCCAGAAGTTCTACAATTAATTGTCTGACAGAGAAAGCTGTATTTCTATATCGAACCAGAATATTGAATATATATATTTAAACAAAACCGCTTCTAAAACTTTGCGGCCTGAATGAATTTTTTTTACAGCCTTTGATTCTATAGAGCAAGCAATACTATGCTTTGCATATATTATAATGCCCCGTTTATTTCTGTTGGTTGTTTCCGTGCTATCTATCCTCAACTCGTTAATTGGAGTAAATCCTGGTATATCAAAACTTTCGCAAGGATAACTCCCTCAGTTCCCTAAATACGGGATCCGATTCAGAAAATTTGTTAGGAGGAATAAAATTTCCTATGATGAATAGACCTTCTGCAGAAGTAGACTGACTACAATCGACATATATTGAAGCTCTAGGCATTCTGGGTCGAGTATGAACTACAACTTTATTATATGTGGCACCCTGACTTTTATGAATAGTTATTCCCTCAGCCGGAACAATTGGAAACTGATTTCTTTCAATTGAAATTTGTTCATTTCTTTTATATTGAAAAGATTTCAGAACTTTTTCAATTAGTGTCCAAGAACTTTCTAAAGGATGAGGCTTTTTTGATCGTGCTATCAAACCAACAGAAGGTTCCAAAAATTTAATCCAAAGAATTGTTGGAAAAGAACAATGGAAATCAATTTGCATAAGTTGTCCAGCTGCCCCATTAACCAAGCCATCACACGTGTTTATATTCACTGTAATCATATATTTGGCGGAAGTTTTTAGTGTCAATTCATAGGGCAGTCCCTGCGTTTCAGAAGTTTTGAAAAGTTTAACTCATTCCAAAATATTATCATTTTCACTTATACCAATTCCTTTAACTGAGTCTTTTGCAGTTGAAAGGAAAGCTTCTGTTGGAATTCGACTGAGCTTAAGAGCATTGAAATTATTTGTCTCTTCATTGGACCAAAATAAATGTATGGCATCATCTGGAACTTCTTCGAAATTAACTACTCGAGTTTCAATGAGTGATATGTCCTCATTTGTCATAGTACCAGATGCCATATGATTTAATGCAATTGCAAAGGCCTGATCCTCCCGGTTTCTCATTATCTCTGTTAATTCAAAGTATTTAAATAACTCCCACAAAGGGGAACCAACTTAGGAGAGAATATCCACCTATCTCCAACAGTTGAGAGTTGCTTCAAATCACCAAACACTATGATCGGTATACCACCGAAGGGGCTGTCTGTTTTGAAAATTTGTTGTAATCCCGCATCATTTGTTGTAATGAGCACCTACCATCGATATTTCATCAATTAAAATTAATTTTAAATCGATAAGTCTGGAATACAATGAATTAACTGTGTCATTGCTAAGTGGCCTCAACTCTCTATTCAACTGATTAACAGGTAAAGAGAATATTGAATAAAGGGTCATTCCACCTATTCCGAATGCTGCTTTACCCGTAGGTGCGCAAAGAAGAACTTTTAAGGAACTTGAATTGGATCTAGGTGTAGAATTGTAACGATGGTTAAGAGCTTGATATATTGCAGATATCAAACGACTCTTTCCTACACCTGCACCGCCGCCAATGAACTCATAAAATGGGATATTTGTTTTTAGGTGGTGCATCAAATGTGTCAAATACGTTCTTTGCTTAGTATTTACACTTTGAACTAAAGAAAATAATAATCCTCAACTGGAATTAAAAGGGGTAGTTTAATAAGTCTAATATTGCAATCAGATTCAGTGCCATTATCTGTTGAATCTTCGCCATGCAAGTCCAGCAAATTTATATTTGGGTTTATTTCTGGAAGTGCCAACACTCTGAACTCATTTTCCACGATAGGTAGTTCATTTTGAGCACCTTCGTCCAAGTATATTTCATTATA